CTGTTTCGCACAAATACTGTTTTGTGAACCCCGACTGATGCTCTGTAATAATAGCATTACTTTCTAGATACATTTCAAGTTGTTCTTTTACTATTAATTCTAACACTTTCTCAAATACTGGTAATATATTAATAGGTCTGTATTCACTCGCTTTTCTCGTTTTATCTATTTTTGGTATCGGCACTATCGTCGAAGTTTTCCATCCTTCCGGACAGCAACCAACTCTCAAAGAACTATTTATTACATTTGCAAACTCTTCTTTTATTACGCAGAAAGCTGCTTTTAATACATCACTAGTTATGCCCTTATTCGTACCTTTCTTTTTTGGTAAGCTCATAACAATTTTTTCTAACTTGTCTACTCCTATCATCTCAAAATTTTCCATACTTCCTTTGTTCTCGATAACATAAATAATTTTTTTATTTGTACCGTTGAAAGTATCTACATTTATAGATTGAACTATATTATTAATACTCTTTACATAGTATAAATTAAACTTATCGGCTACATTCGGCTCATCAATGTTATCTAAGATTTCAAAATCTATACTTTCTACTATCTTTGTTCGTACTGGCTCACCTTTAATTATTTCTTTCAAGGTTTTCCACATAGTCGTAGAGTTTTCCTTGTTGAGATCTATCATATTTTTATAATACTCTCTTTTTTTATCTCTAATTAATTGTACAACTGTATTCCTTTCAGTTTTAAACTGCAACCAATTTTGCTCCCTATTTTCATAAATCGCTTTCTTGTATGCTTTATCCTTTCTATCAGCTGCTTCTCTTATTTCATCTGAGAACCATTTTTTCCCTTCCCACACTTTCGGAATTCTAAACTTTCTTATCGGCGCTACTACATCTAACGCTTCTACTATGCTGTCAACTAGCTTTGTCGCTCTCATACTGACCTCCATATCTTGTTTGTTATGCAATTTATTTGCCACTAACCTGGCAAATTCACTTACGTCAAATTCCTTAAAGCTTCTAGCGCTAAATTCTCTATAGTTAGTTTCACTTCTATTAGCACCAAGTTTAACTTGAAGCCATGCGTGATCCGTAATTTTAGGTTCGTAAACTACCTGTACTTCTAAACTATCATTATTAGCGAAGATTAAATCAATGATTGTCTGACTGTCTTTCGTGATTCTTGTCGGTTTATTAACATATTGTTTTATACCTAAGCTCAGCATTGTCGTTTGCAGCTTCTTTGCATAAAAGAAATCTAACATAAGATNTATATTAAAGTCACCAATTACTATACATTCTTCTTTTATTGTTAACTCCTCTACTATATCTTCCAGAAGTGTCATAAAGTCACCATGCGACGCGCTTGGTGAGTGATATACTACCATAATCACCTTTTTACACAATTTTTCTTTTACTTCTACCGCTACACACCAACAGTTCAATTTTAAGGTTTTTGCTATTTCATATTTAACATCGTCCCTTATAT